ACGGAAAATTCAGACAAAAGTGGTAATTTCGACCTGCTTAACTATTTTCTTCCGTTAGAAGGTGTCACAAACAGAATTTAACCCATTCCATCGAAAAACCACGTTTTCCACCAGCATCTATTGGTGTGCATCGAACATGTATGGAGGCATGTATGATGTCGCCTTGCACAACAGAGAGTATTCATAGATCAAGTGAGTCCTTTCATTGCTCTACTTCAATCGTCCTTTATTCAATGTTTAAGATATTATATTTACCATTCGATACTCGTGATGAGTAATTTTACTGGGTAAGATGACAAACAATATAACTGAGGTAATAGGAAATGTCCTTAAAATACCTTAAAATGGTAACGCTATGTAACGCAATACATTGCACACAATAATAGGCCTTTTAAGTCTTTTAGCGGTCATAACCGTTCTCAAACACAAGCAACGATAAATACATAAAGACAGAATTAAAGAAATTAATCTTCAACATCACCTAAGTTCGTATCAAACTTTCTATTTGTTCAGCTCGTTAGCGTTTGTCTAAAGATACAGAAACTAACATTGGGTTTTCCAGTGGAAAAGCTTTTGCATAGTGATAGCTCCAATGAAATAGCACATTTCTTAGATTAAGAACACCACAATTCGAAGGAGAAAATTTGATTGAACAGCAGTAACATAAACTGTTGAAATAGAGAAACCACTTACATTACTAATTACTCTTTCTTCCGTTGATTTTCCATATGTCCTAGGATAGTGAAAAATTCAAATACATAAAAATCGATATCTTTACCGCAAATCTCAATTGCCAAAGGGATGGAACATCAGGGTTAGTTCTGATTGAAAAGCACTGAAAACTGGATGTAAACACATCTTTGAGCACATTATTTACAAGGCATTAGCGACAACAAGCCACATTTTGCTCTGAGCTATTGGCTTAAATAAAACCAGGTTTCATAAATAGCCAGAGCTTGAGCAGAGAAGCTATTGGTAAGGATAATACTTAATTACTTTACTGGACATGCAGAACATAACACCCGCATAGCCACTTTGCCCACACTTAAAAGACGTGGCGAGTAGTCTAAAAGGTATTGAGTCAAAGATGCTCAAGGTAATTAACGTCTGGATGAAGTTCGTGACATGAACTTAGCTACTATGATATATGTGAAAAGCAAAAGGACAAGTTCACAGTTGCAAACAGTTCCCATTGGTAACAAAATCTAGATGTGAAGAAACCATGAAAATGGACGATAGTTTATCACTCTAGAAAGCGTTTTGTAGCAAGTCTGAGTCGATCATTAAAATCGTGAAAAAATAGTGACACGTGTAGATAAGAGCATGAAATCACAGTTGTGACGCTTTACATTCACGGATATTATATAATCTATACGCAAAAGAGAGCTTTTAATGTGCTTACCTCCCTTGTGTTTAAATGAAGCTATATAAACACACAAGCAGCCCTTACCACTAGTTGCCTAATCCTACGATACATTTCGTGGGACCTAGTGTTGTCAGTAATACAACTCTTACCGTTCGATTTCTTGCTACGACGCCTTCTTGACTTCAATACGAAAAAAACAACTATTCCAACAGCAACAGCTAGTGCGGCAGCTGATCCAACCACCGCACCAGCAATAATTTCTGTGGGACCTAGAAAACATGCGGAGATTAGAACAACATAAGATGGTTATGTCGCCACAAACTAAATGTCGGCAATCCTCCGCTCTACCGTTTCACGACGCTTTTCTTACTCATACAAACGTTTTATAAATGACTGCCATGATTGCGCAATAAATGAGATTTCGATTCCCGATGGCGAGAGTGCTCGCCTCCCACCTCTGTGGCTCACGTTCGCTTCTTGGACTTGGCACCTCGTCTGGGTCCTCCGATTTTCCTCCCTCCACGAAAACCAACATTCCAAATTACAATTCGACCAGGAATTAGTGGCCACCTCGTGGAATGTCCACTGCTAAATCCCACTTTTATTAATATTATTATTATTATTATTATCATCATATCATTATTATCATTATTGTTAATACGTCATGCTCATCTCTTTCCGATCCTGCAGGCTTACGTCAGCTTCTGGTGGTACCGACTGATGTTATAGAATGACAAATTATTTTTGTAAGGGCATGATGTTCATAAATGTTTGTATTTACTAAAACCAAGTGCATCAACATTGATACAATATACAACGGGGATATTTCACATGAATGCCGAACATACAGAGTATAAATGGCGTTTTTGGCTGAAAGTTCAGGTGGGTGGACTCGATTGGTACGTAGTTACTAGGATTCTTTAGGGAAAAAAATTGACTACAATTGATGATAAACTAGCACGCTATCGTTGATGTTATTGTTGGTGTTTAAGTCGTCAGTAGTGTTACACAATTTTAGAACAGGTTGAATGATTTCGCTGTGTCGTTTGTAAATTCAAAACAAAAGTATTACTATCACAAGTGTTACTGAAATTTTTCTCATCAGTGTTATTCAGTGTCAATTGATTTTAATGAAGCATTTAAATTCATTTTGTAAGAATGATTATCTTGATTTATTCTATTTCGAACCTGGGATATTGCATTTCTTGCCCTCTATGGCTTCATCCCACCTCGGTAATCAGTTCACCTACCATATGACTATAAGTGGAAACTGCTGAGCTTTCTTTTTACATTTATTTATTTGTCTATTCTATTTTATCTATATAAAAATGAAATAAAAACTTTAGATCAAGCGTGGAATATTGACCAAGCTTATTCGGTCAGGACGACTGAATATTAACCTCGTTTTTTTCTTGCGTTTTTTTTACCTCGACTTCGTCTCGGTCCACGAAAACGCAGCAAAAGAACTCGGTCAATATCCAGCCATCTTGACCTCACACTTCGTCAATAACGCATATAAATATACTTCATGCAGACCTTTACAAATCTGGCAAGGGCAATGCTTGTCCACCTATGTCTCTCGCAAATAAAAAGACGCTGGTTAATATCAGCGAGCGCGAAATATGCCATGAATATTGTTCAGAAGATTCTTTGTTGCATCAGCTGTTACTTTAACCTCTAAATGTGAATGTCCGCTATAACAGCAATGCTTCAGTGCTCTAGTGCAGTTAAACGATTGCACTCAAGGCTTATTACATTTAACACCAAATGGTATTACATTAGGGACTTTATTAAGTTTAGGACAGTTATTACATTTAGGCCTTCAACAGGGTGTCCGTGTTAACGAGGAGTCCTCATGGCAAGAGTCGACTGTATTTAAGAGATTTTATACTTATTTATAGAACGCATTACGTTATTGCATACGGGAAGTCTATTCTGGGGATGAGGATGTGATTTACTATTAATTTCAACCCCTAATTTTGTCGCCTTTTTAAGCTATTTTTAACTGGTTATCGCCCTTTCGATCGAAAACTCGAGCAATTTTTTATGATCTTCCTTACAAACTGCTGGATGAAAACACTTGCAAGACCATCTGATGTAATATCAAATTTTCTTGATATGAACACGTTCGAAAAAAACATTACCATAAAAATCAATTACAGGAGAGAATAAACTGGTTCATATCATATGACAGTTCCTTCATGTGCAGGTCGGTGAGGATTTTAAACCGTCGTTAAAACAAAAGAATCCTAATAACAGTTGTATCACTAACACAAGCAGATCAATTCTGAACTTCCTGGGAATAGTGGCGGAAATAAAAAACACAAGTAAGTTTAGAATAACAGGTCACCTGTTATTTGAGTTATCATTAAAATCCATACATAAATTAATATCCAGTGAAGAAATTTGGTAAAGTCGTGCGCGATGACCATGTATGAACTCGAATAGGAGCTTCACAGTAGTAGGCGGTTCGGGCTCATTTCATCAAAATGAAATTGACACACTAACCATGAGGTGGTGTAACTGAAAAACAGGAAGTCGAGAATGCAAAAGGGACTTTCCCAAAGAAACGGGTCATCAGACAGATTGCCATTGTTCGTGGGTTATAGATTATGCCGCAATAATCTTGTAATTGTATCGCGTGATACATTATTTCCTAATTTAGTAATTGAAGTGTGGATGTCTTGTATTCTGCTGTATACACCTTTATTGATATCTGACGGGTTATACCAGCAACTAAACTACTCGCTACATCAAGTTACAAGCTCGGTTTTTATAGGTACGGTCGAGGATTTAGCACGTTCCGTAACATTACAACAGATTTTATTTATATATTGATTCAGGGATGACTCAACATGACACAGCTACTTCTAGAACATTCTTAAAGGTCACACTACAGTAATTAAGCAAAGGGTTGGTGACAGTTGGGTTACTTAAGATTTAGGTGTGTAATTAAGCGTAGCACGGTAATGACAGACTTGTAGCAAGAATGTTCTTTATGGTCTGAAATAAATAGAAAAGGAGTTGCTTTGGGAAATTGTGCGTGCGCGTTTGGGTTGGAACATCCAGAGACGTTGCATGATGTGTTCTTCGTGCCGCAAATAGTGCTTGCGCGCGGGTGTAAATTACAGTAGTGTTGATCGGAGTATAATGGGAAACAGCTGTTAAAATCAAGTTGACATGAAATAACTTGGGATTTTAGAAAATCACGAATAAGTAATGTCAATTTTGGTTTTACGTAGTTTAGGCGTGTATTTCCGTTGTAATAGTAGATAAATAGAATCACTATCTTGTAACAGAACATTTGGGAACGATTGAATGTAAAAAGTTTGAATATTGTATGGATCGTAAATAAACGCAAGAAACGCTGGTACTTGTAAACTGTATTTTATAAAGTCTTAGTGAGTAAGTTATTCATGTCAGCTTTTTTGTCAGTTATTGACCTCATCCGAGAAAGGGTCACAGCTTCGTCATTTTATTGAGCTTGGGCGACACCCGTCATCCGTTCATCTTTAGCATCCCATCGCCCGTCGTTTGATATTTCCAATAATTTATTATTATTTTTTATTTTGCGATATCTTGTTTCACAAAGTAATTTATTGAGTTCGTCTGAACTACTGACCGGTGCACATTCATAACCCGGTGATTATCTTAATTAATATCACCTTGAAAGGATTCAGAACCATCGAGAATACTATTTGCAACTGTGTCAACATACCGCTTATTGCTTTCATCTGTTGCATTTTTGAGTCATTTTTGGTTAATCACCTTGCTATCTTTCATACCTTAATTGCCAGTGCTAAATTGCTAAATGCTTTAGAATTGACTAATGATTTGTTGACAGCGCTTTGATTTGAAAAATCACCCTTGTCGTAGTCGTGAATGATTAACCTGCTTTTTATTGTCTGTGGAAGCAAGTTATCCACTTCGACTATTTTATTAGCTATTTCAGTCATCTGTGATTGCGTAACAGCATCATTCCAAAGACAAGGAGAGATTCTTTCATTCTCGTCTCATACTTTAGATAACCGATCTACAGTTGTTTTGATGCGATTTGATGTCCTAGAGATCTGGGCCCAAATCAAGGTATAAGATTTAAAGGGCTGCGTTTCCTACAAATACTTTGTTCGAATTTGTTTCTATTGACGGCAATTCATGGGCGTAACCATTTATTATCAAATAAGCATTTATTTAAATAAGATGTTATTCCAGATACCATTGCATGAATCAGCTTAAGTACAGGAATATAATAAAAACGGCGATCATTCTGGTATGCAAAGTTGGTTCTGATAAAACTTAAAATTTGACGGGGGAGCAGTCGTGAAGGAGAACATGACAAGACTATTAACTCAGATATTTACGGAAAAAAAACCCTACAAAGTTTGGTGGCCAATAGCTATCAAAATAAATTAAATATTTTGTGCATTTTGCGAGTTCTTGGTAAAAATTGTTCAAGAGAAAATTGACAACAAGAACAACCACGTGGTAGGAATTTATGTCAAAACGTTGAGTAACAATTTTATAAAGTATCATTGATGACAATTTTTGTGTTCTACAATAAAAATTAAAGTTTCGTAGCACAGTCTTGGCTTCTTATCACGACCATCAAAAATAATTTATTCGTACGATTCGCAAATGAAAACAAAATATCAAAGTTCCGTTTGATTGAGCCAGTTTTCAAACTTCTGTTTCGGAAACTTTAGCATCCCTCGCTGAAAAGTCGATCTTGATCTTAGGGCATTTGCTTTAAACACAAAACACGAGAGGAGACAAGACGCTTCGTTAAAATACACCACACAATATGGTGATAAGTAGATCTAGAAATATTTTTACAGATACGACGAACGATCCACAAATGAAACCAAATTATACATATACGTGAAAGTTCCGTTTTTTTCAGCCAGTGTCCAAAAACTTCTGTTTAATTTTGGGGGACATTTCGAGACAAGAATGACATTAAAAAGTGTTGGCTTAGTGTCAACTCTTGTCTCGGGGAATTTGCTGCAAACGTAAATCATAGATGAGAAAAGAACCATATGCAGTGTGAAAAGCGTAAGGCGAGCAGCAAGAGCAAGACACGCACAACGAAAGAATTGAGCGCGAAAGAGTAATCGTAGTATCTTTTGATTGTTTTGGGGTCATTTGAGCCCATTTATGTTTTTAAATCCGTATAGATATGGAACGAGACAAAGGCAGAAGAGGCATCGTCCTTTAGGGGGACGAAGTTTGGTACATATGTCCATCACTGCTGCTATAGTCGTTTCTGTGAACGCAAACTAAACATCGAAAACGTCAATAAGTTATGACTCTAATATGCTGATTCAAATTGTCAATAAGTCAGCAACCTTGTCGGTAGGTTCACGAATCAGTCGGTCAGTCGGTTAGCCACTCGGTTTGTCAGTCAGTGAGTCGGTGAGTCAACCAGCTAATAAGTAAATCACTCTGTCACCGACCACGTCGGTTACAAGATCTTTGACAGAAAATAATTTGAAAGTCAGATGCATTTATAAACGAGAGAGGCTGAAATTTGTCTAATCTGACTTCCGAGTCCGATTGCAAAGAGCATGAAGAAGAACATCACAGCTCAGTTGGTTGCAGCCGGCATCTGAGCCTGAATCCCCTCGGGAAAAGCCGCAAAACTAAGACCAGGTCTTACAATTGAATTAAAACAAATTTCTTTGATTTTCCAATCCAAGAGTAGGTGTAAAAAATCCATTTACTAAAAAAGAGGCTAAAGTCCAAACTCCGTAGGAAATATGTATCATACTTGGTGAATGAACCACAACATTTGGCTAAAATAAAAACTCCGAAGATTCTCAATTTTCCAAACAAAGGAATAACAAATTTGCGCAAAAGCCAAAAAAAATTATCTAAAACTCCGCGAAAACAAACAAAAGGTACGAGAAACACGTCCAAGTCAGTTTTCCAATGTCAAGGTTAGAGTTCTTTGACGTGATTGGCTAATTTTTCGTATTCACGCGCGGGGCGTGAATGCGAAAAGAATACAAAACGGAGAGAGGAAGAGAAAATTGTGAAAACGAAAGAGATTTTCTACATGAGAGACCCGTCAAGAAGATTCCTCCCTTTCCCAATATCGAAACTGACCACGCATTAACTTGTTATCTTACCAGAGGAAACAACTTTGTCAGTGGACACCAGAGTGGCAATGAGAAACGGCATTTGACAGAGACACTCAATGTTTTGACGTCAGATCTAGCCCTGCAGGCAATGGATCGCAAGCAAGTCACTGCCTTGGTGTTATTAGATCTTTCCAAGGCATTTGACAGCATTGATAAATCGTTTTTGTGAGCGATGGAGCGCAAAGTGCGCACGGAAGAGCGAAAGCAAAGCAAAGGGGAAACAGTCAAATCTTCTGAGGCTCTTATTTCGCTCGCGTTATGAAAGATGACTCTGTAGAAAACTGAAAAAGACTGCTAACAAACTAAAAATTCCCAGAAGAACCTCTCTTCAACACTCGCATTATTTCCCCTTTGTTTGGCAGGTCGTAAGCATAAACTTTTTTGGTCCGACACGCGCGAGCTGGAGCAGAAAACAATGTTATGAAAGTAGCTCTTCAACTTAGATTTCACTCTCAATGTAACCCGGAATTGCAAAGAGCAAGATCACTGTTTGCGCATCTTAAACCAATTTACAGTGGTTTAGCACAGACATTTCTAGTCGTTTATTTGCAATTGGTTGCTATATCTCCTCCATCCATCTTCCGTCTTAATTTATTCGCTGGCTCCTAAGTGTTTTTTATTCATTTGGCATCCGTATCAATCTTCCGTCCATCCTTATTCATCATTTTCCCCTCTGGTTACTTCTCACCTCTTTTTGTGTTTTTCTATCTTGCCGAGCTTATATTTTGTAATCATTTGTAGTCTTCTCCAGTCTTGATCATCCATCTTCCTTCTTGGTTTATCGTTGCTTCTATTTTATCAAACGATTATTCTGAAGTCATTTACAATCCTTGTCAATCTCCTTCATCCAGTCATCCTTGTTGCTTTTGGATTTCACTGTAGCTTAGCTCGTTTTTGTTTGCGTGTCTTACTAAACAGACATTTGGTAGACCCCCTCGAATTAAAGAAAGTTTTTCGAAGCACAAAATCTGACACTGCATGTCACAATACAACTTCTTTGAGTTGCGAGAATTTTGCAATTCTAAAAAGTGTGCTGTTCTAAACCTTACCTGCACTCCCATAATGGGACTGTGATAAACATCTACAGCCAAGGAAGTTACCTCCGCCGTTCTTGTGACAAAGATACGGAAAACGCCCAATATTCCTAAGGCCGACAGCATAACCGATACGTGACGCTATGAAATCGTTTTTCGCGGTCCATTTTCCGCGCTCTTTATCATGGCTCGCATCGGAGCTTTCGCCCACCGTTATAACAACGGATTTGGAAGTTACTCGTCATTTGCTCAACTCCTTACGTTACTTGTTTTAACTCAGCTTCCCAAATTCAAGCTCACATCTCCAAATGAATCTGCTTCTTCGCTGACGGAAACCAAAGCGAGAAGTGATTTTGATGTCATAGAAGGTAAAAAAGCAATCTGGTGCTGACGTCATTGATCAGCTGATTGTTAGGGCGGGAAATTTAGTGTAATTGACCAATAACCCGAACTCTTTCTTGATTGACCAGCACTGTGATCAATCGCTTCTTTATTTCATTAACGAGTTCAAAATGACTAACCTTAGTTTCTTACTCTGTTTCCTCATATGACAGGTTCGTCATGGATATCGTAGCAATTCACAGGACACGTCATAAATGAGCCTAGTAATGGCCTGTTTCTGTGGCTCATCAGTAGATCACAAATACTAATGTGTAGCAATGTAGTAAATCACAAAAGCCATCATTAAATGATATCGCAAACACAAAAATCCACATAATACGACCGTTCAACTGCAGAGTCCAGTTGGCTCACGTGATAATCGTATCTGACATTTGGTAAAGTTTACAAACTCAAAACAATGCATGTGCGCGCGCTTTGCTACATCGCTGGTCGTTTACATCATTTCATTCGTCTTCTTTACAATCCCTATCAGCACGTCACCGCTACGCTTTAAGAGTCTTAATAAGCACGGAGCCACAAACAGAAAAAAAAATCAAAATCCGATTAAACTAAGGCAGTAAAATAATCCAACTACTTTTAATAATTGAATGTTACCTGCTAGGCATAACCTGATGACTTGTGCGCGAGCTTTTATGGTTTGCCAGGCGATTGCTGATGTGGACGTGTTGGTGATTGAACTGTTGGTCCATTTGCGCGATTTAATTAAAAATGATGACACTAAAAAACTAGATCCAAAGGAACCCCATCTTGTCGATTTACAGCAGTTAACAACTGAGAACAGAATCAAGTCTTAACGGCGTATTTAATTTTGATGTGACTAAAAGAATCTCTAAACAGTGGTATGATTCGTGAAGGAGGCCTGTGCATACATTGCACACATTTCCTGGCCTCAATTTGAATAACAACAATTTGAACAAAGTAGTCGATACACACGATCTTATCTCAGCTTGGTTGTTGCTGCGGTATGTGCATTAGCATCTTTTTACTCGGTAGTTTTTTTTTCTTTGTTTTCGTTGTATGCACGAACTACCAAGTGTTAGGTCACAAGGGACTCTTACAATTAAACCTCCTTCATTATGCACATTTTGTACCTTGCACGTCTAGTTTTAGTTCAGTTAGGGTCTGAGTTAAAAGTTGTGCCGTTTCTCATGAGCGAAGAACGCTGAAAAGGTTTGTATGTTTTGCTTCTAGGTTTTGTACCTTCGGCTTTTGTATTCTACTGTGTCTGCAACATTTGTTCTCTTTTTTTAACCGTCGAACCTACTCTTCAGGAAGCAACATTTTCTTTTTAAACCTGATCAAGATTGAGTGTATCGTCAGTGAACTGTTCAAGAGTAGTGTGAAATTCGTATCCGCGAATTCGTTTGTTTGCAGATCTTATCTCAGCCCAACAGGTTCCCATTGCACATAAGAAAGAGAGATAACAGTGCGTTTCCTAATTTCACATCGTTTCCCGTGAATTTCTTAAAAGACGGGTTGAGAGAGAAAGGAAGGAAAAGTACTTAATTGTACGCTCACACTGCCGCTGAGGAAAACTACCGAGAAATGAACAGAAAACTTAAAATTAGCAGCAGTTGCTTCAAATTGTAGCCAGATGAGTTTACCATAGTATGATATTTTCCACAAAGAAAGATCGACCAAACCGACTATGGAATAACTCAAAAAAATATTGGAATCACACCCCCATGAGGTAAGACAAAAATTAACTACTTCCAAATTTTGGCATTTAGCATTTCAACATTCGGTCATCGCATGAGCGCTCCGCAAGAGTTTTTCAATCACTGCCCACGGAAAGGTCTGTTTTCGTATGAGTGGGAGTAATCGTCAATCTTTTGACTGTCAGACACTATGCAGGCTTTTCTTCACTGTTCACTTTTAAATTGCAAGGAAATTCGCTGTGATTAAATTCAAATGAGTGTCAGTAAAAAAAATGAAAAACTGACGTTGAATGAGGCGATTTCTCTGAACTCGAGGAAACTATTGCAGATTCCATTCACTGAATTTCTTTAGATTCTGCAACACAATATATTGACTGAGATCAACGCTATGACCAGAAGTAAAGAGCGAAGTGGAGAGAAATTTTTTTTAAAATTATTTTTTAAGGATTACAATGAATAAGGCATTCTTCCATTGCAAGCCGTTATATTTACGTGCTGTCAACTTGCCTATTAAGTGCGCGAGAGGAAAAACATAACCTTCAGGAAATTGTCTTCAACAAGAGGTTAGGCCCTTAGATATATCAAAACTCGCAGGAAACGCATCAGTCGGTTATTACAACAACGCGCTCTACTTCTTGTTGATTAAGTAATGGTAATAGTAATTCGTGTCGTCCAATTCGGTCTGTAATCATTCGAGTCATTACAAAATCGGAATCCAGGTGCATTGGGAACGATAGCGATTTGGCGCCAAAACAAGAAGCCACCGCGCATGCTCCTAGCGTGGTTGACCGGCTCGATCTAAGATGGCGGAATGTGCAAGCCGACCAGGATTCCACGGAATTCAGCTATCATTTCGCTTCCTTCCAACTTTGAATGTGTTTGGAAATCAATACCATAGTTTCATTTAGTTGATAAAAAACTCATTGGATCTTTAAAAGTTCTGTTACCGAGCAATTCAACGATCGAACGAAACAGCTGTCGGACCTGAACAGCAGACCTGGCAGATTGTCGATGTGATTGGAGAGACAGTGTTACATGCAACTGGGCCCAAAGTTGTTACACAGCCACCTCAGTGACATGTATGTATAGCATGCATTTAAATTTTGAATAATGGCAATTTAATAGATATATTTTAATTTATTATTTTACTTGTTATTTTTACACAGCTGTTAACTCATCACAGCTGGTATTTGTGCTGGTTTTGAGTCCAGGGCAGTCAGTAATTTTTCATGTAGGCGGGGAAATGATAAAAGTAGCAGGGGTTTTAAGAATCTGCTTGAGGAAGAAGTGGGGAGGGGTAGGAATGGAGATCTAGGGAACAAAAAAAACCTTGTTGTAGATAAGCAAAGGAAAACTTTGGAAAGGTTTTGACAATCAATCATAATTTTATTCTGACAAAACAGTTTAGGCTGACATTGACAACACCCTCGTGCTGTTTATCATGGAATTCAGAACTATTATATCCACTCACACTAAAAGAACTTGTGTGACTTGTGACTGACTAAAAATGGTGTGATCCATAACTGGTTAGTAACAGTGTGACCAATAAGAGACCAGAAACAAATCATTTGAGCCAAAAACATGGTGCTGCAAATGTTTTGGGAATGTAAACTGGTTCACCCTTTTTTTCTTCCTTAATTTCTCTAAGCAAAGCTTATAAGAAATTAATGAAAGAAAACTGTCTATGCTGATGTGCATTAGGTAGTCTGGCAGGATTTTTGTGAGACTAAGCCTTGCACTAACTGGGACCTATATGCATTCTAGCTCTGCTGGCTGAGAAGTTTTTGTTGACATGTGATTTATCAGAGAGAAAGACCAATTGTTAACCCTTAGTACCATTTGCGAAAGTGAGGGATGTCACCAATCTCTGGCAGAAATTCTCAGCTCACTTGCTGCATACTTTTGAAAGAAAATATGGGGAGATCTGTTTTCAATGTTGGTTTTATATAAGAGATATTGTAGTGTCTTGCAATAATGTAATCAAATGTTATGATTTTTTAACAACCTTGTTGAAATGAAGATTTGATTAATTGTATCCTGATAAAAGTAGTTTGGGTTGGACCAGAACATTGTGAACTGACATCAGTTTGAGGGATGATTTATGTACACTTATCTTTCCATCTGTGAAACTGACTTATTAATGATACACAAAATGTAACAAAAAGCAGCAACCATATGCTGAAGAATTGTCTCCAAGTTTGGATTGGGGTCACAAATTGAGTTATTCTGCTATAATCAACCAGCATAAAGTGATATTAATACTGAAGCACTAATTTCCAAAAAATTTGTCACAGTTGTTGTAGGTGATTGCAACAAATTTTGATTAAAAAAGAAAGCTTTACGGTTTAAAACCATTACAATGGTTACACAGGTTTTGCAATGTTGAACTTTTCTCTTATAAAAACTTGTCTCCAGATAATGATTTTTGTTCTTTTATTCTTTAATTTTTAGCAAATTCATCATCAGTCAGTGTTGCATAGTGCAAAGCAAAATAATTTTATGACTAGAAAATTACAATTCCTAATTATACACTTGCAGAAATGGGAGCAGAGACATTGTGAGAAACCTTGACCTTATCTTAAGTTTATAGCACTCTCAAAGGTCTGCTGTTTGTTGGTTAAAATAATCAGATTGATAAGAATGGTTTACCTTAAAGCTTGAAGGTGGTTGTTGTTACTCTTCCTGTACTTCAACTGAAACATCCTACAAACAAGGGTATAATTGTTAATGGATTATCATTCATTATTATCAGTAGGATGTATAGAGTTTAACGAAGAACGTAATGATGATACTGATAATAATTATTAGTCTACATGAGTAAGTTATATTGTGGTTACTTATGGTGCCTTCTTTCCTCTGGTTTTCCAAAGGTTCTTCAAATTATTGAAAGAATTTGAAGAGGGTTAAATTTCAGGTGGAAGCACTAGGAAAGGGAACACCTGCAGATGCGTGTGGCCATTGGATGGTTTAAGACTGAGTTAATCATAGTTATGTGCCCCTTACAAATTGATAACTCTTTACATCTCAAATACATTTACTGTGCTCATTGATCTATCTTGAATCTCTAAACCACAGGAAGCTGCAGAGATTCTATGCCTCATGAAGATAAAATCTGCCTTCCATCATGTCAATCAAAGATGGAAGTATACCTCATGTGCAAAGAGGAGATCACAGTTTGTAGTGAAGAGGCAGAGGCAATTTCTTAGTCATCCTTCACCGTCATGTGGGAGGCAAATTTCAAGACTGATAATTCCTAAGGTATGAATTTATACACACGAGGGGTGTTGCAAATGACATTGCTTGAAACAATGTGTACAAAATCGACATGTTGAACTTCCATTTACAGCAGCAAAGGTTTGGTGAAAGTTATAATTCAGCTTATCATTTCGCTTGATTTTGTCGCAGTCCAGGTTACATAAATACCATTAAGTGAAAGCCTAAAAATGACTTATTGTAGGCTGGTTAGTCTCAACCTTGACTTGTGTTTCCAGCAAAATTATCTACATGTTTAAAAACTCCAGTGCTATAAAAGATTGTGCTAGTAACCACATGCAGTATCAGACTGCCTATTTTTATCTTCTCCAGTGCTGAAAGAGAACAGTACTATCAGAGCAGGGTGAAAGTGGAACAGCAGCCAAAGAAATACTTGTCACTGATCGTTGATGGAATGGACCAAGCACAGACAAACATTCCACATTTTACAAGTATCTCTAAGGCAAGTAAAACACTTCAACCAGCTGAATATAAATCTGAAATTTTGGAACAAAAAAGAAAAATTCCTTTTTCTTAGCAAAAACAAAAAGTATGACAAACAGTTTGAAACTAGATTAATAGCCTAAGTGTTCTGCCCACTCATGCACACACACTTAATTGCTTTCTACTTTTCTTCTATGGACAGAGCCATCTCATTTCCTCAAGACACATCACTGGCGTGATTTGCCATAGCCAGAACAGGGTCATGCGCTTCATTGACCTTCTTTGATGGAAACACGATTAGAATCCGACTCTCAATGTTCTTCTGAATATAATCACCAACTTGATCAAGGTACAGCTTGTTTTGGTTTTTTTCTCTGTGTGTGTTTCTTATTTTGTTCATTTTGTTTTTTTGTTTTTGACTTTGTAGGGGGCTGGTGTCTTCCATATCAGGACTGATTTTTTTCCTTTAGTGTATTTGTGTCAGAACGTCTAGGTCTGAAAAAATATACTGATATAAGATAACTTCGGTTTTTCTTGAAGGTGTTTAGCAAAATTGCAGTAAAACAGTAAAAGAAATGGGTCAATGGTACCTAGGTGAAAAAATGTAATCAAGGAGGCATACAACCCTATGATAGTGTCAAGCGCTCAAGGTGATTTTTGACATTTGGATGGATTGGAGGACACCTCCTCTCCATGAAAAACCATGTGTACCCCCACACCCTCAAGTTTTTAATGGGAGATAATAAAAAGGCTCAGATGCAGTACAAAAATTGGGCAACTGATGCCACCTGGCTACCTCACAAAGAACCGTGTATGATTCTCAGGTCAATCCCTGAGGTATACCATCTTTGGTGGGATCAATTCTTGGACGCAAAAAGGTATAAAGCTTGATCTTTTGGGAAAGATCAAGGCAGGTTCAAACAGAATGATGGATGCTCAACTTGAGTGGTAGAGGGACATTGTCTAGGAAGAGGAGTTGGTTCCGACATTTTGGGATGTCTTTTGGGCAACATAAAGCCCTTCAAAGCAAACACTCAGGCAGCAGAGTCAAAGGGAAACATCAATTAGTATACTGTTGGTGATCCCAGACCAACTCCACAAGACGATGAGTTGCAAAGATTTTTAAAGAAGGAAACAACATTTCTATCTGTGAGTAGCAAGTACTTGTCATCTTAAAATCTTGAAAATTTGAAAGCAATTCCTATTTTTCTTTATAGGGTGGTAAATGCTTTTGTGTCTGGTTTACAAAGTAAGAGTGTTATGGTTGCAACTACTTTCTTTGAAATGGTGTCAAGAGGAAGAAAACGGTAAGTAATGACTCCTTAGTAATTTTACCTTTTTGCTCTATTGTGTTTTTCCTTCTCTCTTGTGTCTACATGAAAACAAAACAAGCAAAATCCAATCATTTTTTATTTCTGAATTCAAAACATGGGGTTGTCAACCTACAAAAAATTCCTTCTTCCAGGACATTTTGGAAGGCCTGATCACTGGAGGCATAGAGCAAGTACTACGTGAAGGGTGTTGTTGAGGTTACTGAGATTTGAAATCTCACCTGTTGTCTTCATTTGATTATTGGCATGAATGATTTAGCTGGTGTTTTGGTTCAGGTACTCAGCTGTAATATTGTAAGCAGGAAACGAATCCCCATGCACTGATATACCCTCAACTTCAAAATCCTGGGATGTTTTTGGTTCTTTAACCCTTTAACCCCCAACAGTGACTGGCATCTAAGTTCTCCTTACCATATCACCCCCAAATCAAACATTAAGGTCAGATAAATAAAGGAACTGATTGCTTGCTAAAACAGCTCTTGAATATTAGACAAATTCTCCTTAGGAAACACAACTCAAGAGATCAGCCTGGTTAAAGTGATGGCAAAACAAAGAAAAATGATGAAGAATAAGTGTCCAGAACAGACCCTGCAAATAAAGATTCAGTATTGCATACAGTTGAGATCATCCCTGGAAACAGTGGTGTGGAATATGTCCCACGTATTGCTTTCTCTCTTTTCCTGTAATTGCAAAAGCAGAACATGCAGATGTCTGCTGTGATGTTTGGGTGAGCAGTGTATCAAATGATGGAAAGGAACAAAATTCAAATTGTGAGGAGGAAGTAAGAGAAGTTTGCATAATAGAGCCAGCCCTACTGGTTACTCAGCCTGAGACCAAGGAAAGCATCAGGGATATCCTCTGTGGGTTGCTTAATGACATGAGTCTAAAAGAGCTGGTCCGATTGAACATCAGGCAGGGGCACAAGATGTTAATCAGGCTGGACAAAAGCAGTTATGAGGTGCAGATGACTAAGTTAACATTGTATTCACTGGAGAACTGTCAATAGACAATGGGAAGTAAGGAGAGAGTGCTTCACAGGTAGGCCTTTTTGTACCCTCAATTAAGTATGTGTCAATAGGATTTTTCCAAAATCAGATTCGACACATTAATCTCGGTGAAGGGATGTAAAGAGGTTAAATATTTCCTTAGCAGAACACTTTTTAAGCTGTTTTAAGATTTTTATCTTTTTTATGATTTAAATGGACTTAACCTCAAAGCAATAAATCTTTTCACACCATAATTTGATGAGCTCTAGGGACAACATGATGACAATATCCCAGCATGTTTTGTGTTTTGTCTACAGAAATTCTGGATTATGTTGAAAGAGTTCTTTCCTCTATGGGTGAACCAACTGATTCTATGGTGGTATTAAATCAAAGGGATTGCTGCTGAGCTGATGGTTGTGTCAATTCTGCAAAGTAGACCTTCACCATCATTTCTTCAGCTGGCTGTTTTCACCATTTAAGTCATAGAGAGCTGTCATCAGTTAATCATGAAAGCACTTTAAAAGGAGCAGTATTGAAGGTAAATAAATAAACAAGTGATTTTGCTGTTGTTTTTAGATGGGGTTACCAATTGTTTATCAGCCATGATTCATGTAATAAATTCTTTGGATACTATCCAAAATGAGATGTTTGGAAAGGTCATTAATCATTGCTAATTATTATAGAGTAGGTTTATTTAAGTAAAAAGACAAATTTTGTTTTTGGCTAGTTATTACTTTTGAAGGTAACTGGTACAGGGTTTCTGATGTTTCATGTGGTTGCAAAGCCATGAATTTCAGGTAAATCTTGTGAAATTCACAAAAACTTGCCAAATACATGTTGCCACAACATATTTGAAACTTACAATATATTTGAACTTACCTTGGCTGTTGGGGTTGTTCACTTGCCAGAAAATATCAAATTTATCAAAAACAAAAACACTCCAAATCTACTACATGTTCTTGGATTAATGGTGCTAAAAAGTAGCAATGGTCACAATGTTAAAAGCTTTGCTATTGGTGCATTTCTCAAGTGCAAATGTTGTTGAAAGAGCAAATGAAGATATCTGTTGTGGTCAAACAAATAGAAAACTGCCTTCCATATTTCTTTCTTAGCAAGTCCAAACAAGTTGTACAACTTTTTATCATTTTCTAGGAGATTCAAAGGAGATTCAAATGCACCATATTTCCCTTATGCAGTAGGTTTTTGATGTCTCTCCACTGATTGTGACATACTGCGGTTTGGAAACTCCGCAAATTATGGAAAAGTTTTTAAGGATGCCCACACTTCTGTGAAAACAATTATAAGAGATTGCTTCCAGAGTTATCCATGAATACAATAAATGTCTACATGTAACATTTTATTGGACTACACAAGAAGGTTCCCAATTAACAAACATCTTAAATGCACAATGCACACTCCTCATTTTCCTACAAAACTGGCTAAATTGCTTATTTTTCATTAAAAATGTTTCTCAAATCAAGGCAAAATTGATTACTTTTCAACAACATTTGCCTGAAACATTCTTGGGAAATTGGCTGTTAAGTATGCTTTAGCATGGCAAGCTAATACTCGAGGCTTTCCCTCTCCAATTGCAGAATAATACAAGTTTTGTTTGTCTCTCTCCACAACTATTAATTCTCTGCAATCTCTCCATTTGTCTTAATTCTAAAGACTGTGGACATCATAGACTGCTATGCATGTGGTGTGGGGGTGACTGCATTCAAAATTACATTTCTTTGCTGTCATTGCTGCTACTATGTGATATTACATGAAAGGAAAGACTAAACAACAAACTTCACCACTAGAGGGCTTATTCAAACTACTAGATTTTTCAGTCACACATCACATCTTACCAAACCTTATGATATGGGCCATATAGGGTCCAAGTATGGAAATGGTATGGCATGACCCATGGCCCAGCTATGGGTAATGTTTTGATTGTGTAGGGGATGTTGCTTTCCATATCAAACCCATATGTGTCACAAGCTACATTTTTTTGTGGGTTCTATTGTATTCCACTATGGGACTGCTACATATTTGGCAGCACTCCATACATCTCCCATAGTATCTACAATGATATGATATGGCAACTCCCCAAACCATTCCCATATTGTCCAGGGTTACTGGTATCTGATATGGGAATGCTGTGTACCTTTTAAACTCCCATACAATTTGATCACACGCCTTCCAGGCAGGCTGACATCTGATATGGGAATGGTGTAGATACTCAGAATTCCAGTTCCATATTAATGCCATATGATAAACATTTGTGTTTCTGTCTGGTGAAAAGTGCAGTTCAAGTCTCTGGTGTTTTTTTTTTTACAGCACATCCTTCCACTATCTTGAATAAGGCAAAATTAATGTCTTACGACCAAAACTTCATGTCCCTTGCATATCTTGAGTCCTCTGATCAAATCATTTTATGTGCACTTCAACTTAATATCATGTTCTAGCCTTATTATAATTAATTCATAAGCAAGCTAAGTCAGTGCAACAAATCAGGACATTTCAATAATTGTGAAGAAAATTTTGTTGGCAGTTGCTTTTATAATAATAGCATGAAGAACTATTTAAAAACTTTCTAAAATGGCATAATGTAGACAAGTTCAAGATAAAATCTGATAATAATATGAATAACTTTTGACAAACTTCAAAATGGTACAATGTAGAAAGGGTCAAGATAAAATCTGAGAAACTTCTGTTCTTATCTCTAAACATAGGTGTTGTTATAAAATAGTGGAAGATATTGTAGCTTTAATTTTACAATTAATATATTGTTAGAACTGTCCTCATTTGTGAGTATTTTCAGTGTTGGCTGGTGCTGCATGATTCTTCTTGGTGGTCTTCTTGCCTCAAAACGCTTCATATTTATTTTTGCACTACTTGACTGGGTGTTGGCCCATCTTGTGCAAATTTTGAATAGACTTAACCTGAAAAAAAGAGTGAAATCAACATAATTTCACTGCTCACTATATATATATATATATATATATATATATATAGTTCAAAATAACTAAAATGAAACACGCATGATTCATTGTTACTCTGAGTTTCGTGCTTACGCACTCATCCAAAAAAACCAGAGAGACTATACTTTCATCCTTCAGGCCATGAAACTGACATTAAAGGGAGGAATTATGCTACAATTATATTGTGGAAATCATGTTACTAAAAGAAAGACAAAGCGATATTTCAATAATGCAACTGTGTAAACAAAAAGTGGAATGATATTTTTTTAACATCTTTTTGGTGGTTTTGCTAGTGCTTACAATTATAGTAAATATTGCCACTTGACAACTTGTAACCAAATAAGGATTAACTCCACTTAGTAATGGGAACTAGCACTTGGTCTAAAGGTCTAGTTTCTTTGGTTTCATTGTTCCAGAACAAGACAACAGGAAAAAGTTAAATTCTTTCAGGGTCACAGCAACTTTCTTTACTTTAAAATTAAACGTCATAGGCACTTTGAACACAGCTGTTTCTATCCCTCTGGTAATCTTTGAGGTGATCAGAGGCTAGATTCTTAATGCAAAAAACCCCTACATTGTTTGAAAAAACTTTTTAAGTGTATTTAGCTGCAACCCTAAGTTAATAAAAAGGAAACATTTGGCCACATACTGTCTGATAACCTATTAACTCGTATAAATCAGGTTGGTTGAATCTTACATAATCATGTTACCTTCATAAAGGTATAAGTTCCACTTTAAGCACATTTTAACTTAAAGGTTTGATTCATGATATCTGCTTGTTCCTTTGGTGCTGCATTTCAATGTAAAGATTTTTTCTCATACGAAAGATCTCATTTTAATCAGAAGCTAGTCAGTATCACTGTCAAAGTTTTCTGAATCATAGTCGAGTCATCAGGCTGGTCTGTTAGCTTCAAAGCAGTTGCTGTAACTTCAACTTCATGTACAAGTCCCATCTCATTTGGGTTAGCTTCATCTTGATCAGCTTCAACAGTTTTAACTTGTACTCCCACATCTGCCATCTCTACATGCTCTGACACAGAACCATGGTGATCTGTTAATACTCCTTTCTTAGGCAAGGTTCGCCTCTTTTTCTGCTCCAACTAAAACTGTAGAGAGTCACACAGAAGTTCCTTGCACTGGTCCGAGTGAAGTGGTGGCCCATTGATTGAAACCTGCATAAATACCTGCAGTCTGGTTTTGCTGCGCTTAAGAGCGCTTGCGCCACGTTCTGGCCATGCATTTGAAATGGGAATTGAAAGGCAACACTTTAAAGCTGGTTACTCAATAGGGCATAAAAATGTCTGTAGGGCAAGGCTTGTCTTAATCTTGGGATGGGAAGACAGTGATTTACCTTTGCTTGGTTGGTTATTAATATTGATGTAGCTACTTGCTTGAGCATTTTAACTTCAAATCATGTTAACCCATGAACCATGTCAAGCAGTTACTCAAGAGCAGGATTGGCACAAGGTTACTCCTTCAACAGCTTCTCTGGCGGCTTTTCATGCAGAATACAAACAGGTCCAAGGTTTTCAAAGACCTTCTGTCACTTGTAATGCTGTCATAGAAGCATGTAAAGTTGAGGCTGTGAGCTAAGGCTGTGAGCTGAGGCTGTGAGCTGAGGCTTGGCCATTGTAACATGGGCAACACAATGGGCATTCCTGATCAAGGTTTTGTGGCCACAATTTTCCTATAGTGTTGCCAAAAGCAAACCATAGTTGTCTTTGCTTGCCATTATCCTTTCTGCTCTTTTCTTGACTTTTTATGACAACTTCCCTTGAGAAAGTTGAATTTCCTTGTGCCGGAATAGCTGCATGCATCTCTACTGTATCTTCCTTTACCCCAATAAAGCCAGCTCATATGACTACCCCAAACTCTTCATTGTCATGATTGCCTTGTGTAGAAACAATGATCATGTGATCAGGCGCAGTTTCCATTTCGAAATTGCTCAAGTTCTGTTAAGGCTGTCCTATAGAGGTGATCATGATTGGTTTTGTTTTGGTTTGTTTTTTAATACCTTTATTGGGTTTATAACATACTACTAACTACAAAAACATATTACACAGCAACAAAAATATATGAAGATGGTAACAAAAGTAGTTCTAACAGAAAAGGGCAGGTGTGAACGGGACTGGTGTCCCATGCGAGGCACCACCCTGTAGCTAAAATACAATAAAACAGAAGAAATCCAAATTACAACAAGTTTGTGTGGCATCAGCTGCACCTACAGCTTGTGGCATGAGTAAGTCAAAGGTAGAAATGATGTTCTCAGGTGGTCAATAATTTCTAACCTTCATATTTGACTTCTCTTTTGGGCTTATAGGCTCCTTCTTGTGGCCTAGAACTTCTCTCTTTCCTTTTCTGACCTCAACAACAGAGCTCTTAAAACAGTTCCTTTAGTCAAATTTTCCTTCCTTGAATGCATTAAGAGCTGTCCATGTGAATTCCTTTGAGGCAAAGGGTTGTTTAAAAAGTTGCTCAATTATTTGAAACTTATTCTTTTCTGATTCACAGCTGGCAAATAAACAATACTTGCTCTTTTTTTCTTGTTGTTGGTTGAACACATACAGGCATTCACTGGAGAGTTCTGCTTTGTTTCAGGGCTGTTTTGTGAAAACATTGCAGCTACAGTTTGAAGGCCTGCATGGAAGGCAGTTGAACCTCTTCATGGTGTGGTTCCAACTGGCCTCCATGAGGTCTCCATCATGAAATGGATTTATATATATATTGTATAATTAATAATAACAAAAAACAAATCCAACAAAAGGTTAACATTTTAACAAAGGTGATGCATTGAATGCAATTTTGAGTTGATGAGTTTACAGGTTGAAAGTGAAAATTTATTTTATTTATTAATTTATTCACAGCATTTATTCAGGCTAGCAAGCTGGATTGAGTGGGAGCCTGCAGAGAATTATTTAAATATAAAAATAAGGCTAGTAATGTAAAATGCATAAAGTTCAGCAACAGGTTTAAATTGAATGGGAGCCTCTTAAAATGGTATAGGTATAACAAAGCCTCTTAAAATGGTATAGGTATAACAAAGTACATATAGAAATTTGAAATGCAAAATGAACCCTCAAAAAAATTACAAGATGTACATACATTGTATTTTACACTATAGGGCATATTACATTAATTGCATATTAAAATAAAAAAGAGAATAGAAACATTACAACAAAACAAACTGCATTATTATCTTCAAAAGCTGGACTCCACCATACAGCAATACCTCTGGAAACTAAACAAGGCTAGAAAAGGCTATTCCATTGTTCTCACAGACAGCCTTGAGTGAAAAGAAACATTAGATAGATAGATAGCTTTATTAAAATCCATTGCAGCCAAAAGGCTGGATTACAGACTATACAAATGTTTACTTAATACTAAATACAAAAACAATTAAAAACTAAATTTAAAAAAGGCTAAAAAATACTATGTATGTATATTAAAATTTGCATTACACATGTTAAAAGCCATTAGGAAATAGCCACGTGGTACATAATAAAACTATTCTTCAGTCTATTTGTTCTGCAAAAAGGCACGTTAAAAGTGCGCTTTCTCCTTAAGGCCATGGTACTAAGATTACACGATGACAAAAGGCCATGTAATTTGTGGCAGGTGTTGTCTTTGATCTCACTGGATTGGCGCTCTGTCAGCGATTGGCACCATTGGTAGAGGGTGGCAATATTGCACTTTTTAAGAGCTGCTTGGTAGCTTTAGAGAGATACTTAGGTAGACCATTGTGGAAAACTTGGCAAGCATATTCAGACACGGGCAGGATACACGTAGAAAAGAAACAAACTAGCTGCGCAGGATCTTCTTTTGCATGCTTAAGCTGCCTTAACTGATAAAACCTGGAGAATCTTTTTTTGATAACATTCTCTATGTGAGCATTCCACTTATGATTGTTTGAAATTGTTAGACCAAGAAGTTTTACGTTAGTTACAACCTGTATAGGTTTGTTGTTGATAGTAACTGCTTTGTAAGAATCTGCAGATCTTGAAAAACTTATCTGCAACTCTTCACACTTGGTCTCAATCAACTGGAACTTATCTGTCTCGGCTTGCCTAACTAGTTCTTCTATGGCAACTTGGATTCCACTTGGTTGGCCCGTGTGGACTGTCTCAGCCATCGATGTGTCATCAATGTACTTCCAAAGGTTGACGCCATTGACATTGATGTCATTTATCATGACCAGGAAGAGCCAGGGCCCCAGTTTGGTCCCTTACGGTACACCTGCCCTGACTGGTCCCCAATTCAAGAAGCAATCATGGGTGAGCTTCACTCATTGCTTCCTGTCAGTGAGAAAGTCCGCAATCCAGTCCAACACCCAAGGTGGGAGCTCATAATCCCCAAGCTTGGCCATAAGAATGGCATGGTTTATAAGAACAAACGTTTTCTTAAAGTCAAAAAGCATCATGTGCACTGTAGAACCGTTACTGTCAGTATCCTTAAACCAGTTGTGAAGCATGCTGATTAGGGCATGCACAGTGCGGTATTTTGGGAGAGACCCACATTGGTTCTGGTCAGTTTTTGCAAGGATGGCAGGCTTGACGTAGCTGTCAACGACAAACTCTTCCCCAACTTTAGAAAGAATTGAGGTCAGGGAAATGGGCCTCAGGTGTTTGTTAGCATCACTAACAGGTGAGGTCTCCAAAAAGGAAGAATTCAATGAGTCCAGGTTTTCTTTTAGTACCCAAGAGGGGATTCCATCAGGTCCGGATGCTTTGTTCATGTTAAGCACCGATAACTTCTTGGGGACTGAAAGCTCAGATATAGGTTGGGGAGGTTCTTGTTGGTGTATGTACGCATGTGTGTGTACATCCGGCAAGGCTAGGGGGGGTTAATGCCCTCATTGGTGCCAAAAAAGGCATCATTAATAACATTGGCCAAGTGTTTAGGATCTTCCCCCTCATCAGCAAAGTGTTAAAAGTCTGCGATGGGGCTGGCACGCTCGACTTTAGAAAAGCCACTTAGCTATTTGATTTCCTTCCACCACTGGGCAGGCTTGCAAGCCTTGAGATCTTTTACTTTGGCATTGTAGCACTTTGCTCGACACGCTTTCTGATCTCTGTTCACTTTATTCTGGAGCTGATTGTACTCAGCCAGATTGTTGTTGGTCAGTGCTTTTTGCCGGCGGCAAATAAGGCATTTAAGAGAGTTATTCATCCATGGCACCTCATTCACTGATACAGACATTTCTTTCAGGGGCATAATTGCATCCATACCAGAATAATAGCCTCTTCCATCATCTGCATTTTCTTGTCACATGTATCCTTGTTCTTTACAAGATCAGTGATGTTAACTTTTTCCAAGTATGAGCTTAGAGTGACCCTGTGACTTTCCTGTTGGTCTCTTGTAATGATGGATCGTTTTGAAGGTTGTGTTTTGCAGCAAGACAAGGGCTGGAGTTCAACAGATGCGTGGTCTGACAGACAGAAGGCTGGTCGTTTTATTGGCTCCTCATAGAATTCTTCAGTGTTGGTCAAAATGAGGTCTCGTGTCGAATTTAACAATTTGTTTTAGCTTAAAAGCGTTTCTAAATCTCGAAGTGTTGAGCCTGTTAAAATCCCCTGTGATCAAAACTCCACAGTTCGAAAAGCGCAATTCAATTGTAGATATTGAATCGTAGAGATAATGCAGGATCTCAGGATCAGAAATGCCTTTGTCTGTCTGCGGGTGGTAAACGTTGGCGATAATTATGTAAGATAATCCCCCAGGGAGGCGCAAAGGTCGTAGTTGAAGCCAAATTGCTTCAATTTTATCGTCATATAGATCTTCTAGAACGGTGTACTTCAGCCCTTTCTTGATGTAGGTACAAAAGCCTCCATGTGTTATGTCAATCCTGTCTCTTCTTACTAAGTTGTACTCAGGAATACTGATGACATTGTTGTGAATGTGGTCATGCAACCAGGTTTCTGTTATGTAGGCAATGTCCAAATTTGCATATGTTATAGCATCAGAGACCTCATCCAGTTTGGGGGCCAAAGACAATACGGTTGACAATAAAACAGACAGAATGTAGACCTTCCTCTCTCCTTGTTGGTCTTGTTGTGATAGAGAGATGGTCGCACAGTTTGCTTTATTTTGGTGTCGCCGGGAGTCTTGTGAATGATTGATATGGTTGGTTGGCTGCACTTCGATGGAATAGCGACATCTGCTTATTCTTTCCCTCGCTCGGCGGCTGGCTCTTTTCCCTTTAAAACTGGGCCACACATGCCTAACATCCTTAGAATGACCTCGAAGCTGGTAAATCACCATAAGACTTAAAAATAGATACAAATTTTTGATAAAATATACGGAGCAAAAAAGTGCAGCCAAGCACGGTTCACTACAAACCATTTATCTTGGTCTGGGATGGACCTTTGTAATGTTATACAAAACGAACTTTTGGATGAGAACGATAGGTTCTGTATTGTTGGACTTTATCTTGGTGACACTGAGCCAAAACTGGGGTACACATTTTGAATTAGTGCCAAAGAGAAGGAAGGACTCTAATTCATTGTTAATTAGTTTGTGGTTTCTTGATTTGTTCATTAATCTCTTCTAAAAAGAAAAGAAAACTCATGGAAACAATCCTTACAATGTCCACTGTCAATTTAATGGGCAGCCAACAGTTTAGAAGGACACTAACTACTTCTAAACTGAAGTCGTAATCGAGATTGGTGACGTCCTTAGAAACCTAGCAGGTGAACAAGCAATGAAATCATAAGGACTCGTTTGAAATCTCAAACAGCAATGTCAGGAGAATGACTAGTGGTGGTTACAGATTTACAGTAAAATACACAGTGCATTCAGACAAACTCTGTTAAACCTGAAAAAGCTTAAATCCATCTTACAGCAATACCTATGGAAATTAAACAAGGCTAGAAAAGGTTTTTCCTTTGATTTGCAGATAGCCTTAAGTGAAGTAGAAAATCTACCTTGGTCTGGAAGGACCTATGCAATGTTACGTGAAATGAACATGTGGATGAGAAGTTGAATTTGATATTGTTGAACTCTATTTTGCTGACACCTAGGTGGTTATGGCGAACTTGTGGCAAAGACAAGGAAGGACTTCACCTTGATGAGGGGTGAGTCTCTGAGAGAACTTGAGCAAATACTCTTTGACAACGATGGTCCCAAAATTGTTGGGAACTGTAGAAAACCCTTAATGTCATCTATAGTCACTTCACAGCCTCCTGCAATGAATATTTCTTTAATGTGAGGGTAGGGTTCCCCATCACTCTCATTTTGTTATCGTTCTGCCAAAAAAAAAACAAAGTGCTGATCATGAATAAAGAAACAATTGAGTTTATATCTGTATTCTTTCTAATGAGTTGATCTTAAGGATTTGGTCTCTGACAATAATCACAATCTTTGCTGGAAATTTCATGGGAAGCCCATAATGTCCAAGGACACTTACTACTCCATTATAGAAGTTCTTATCAAAACTGGTGACATCTTCAGAAATCCGACAGATGAATGAGCAATTAAATCATTAGAACTTGTTTAAAACCCTTAACAGCAACATCAGGACAATGGTTAGTCACTTCCTGTAAGGTTACAGGGAATTGTCCCAAGAATATTTAAAATCTAGTTACATTGATATCTTAACTAAACAGCAGTCTTTACTTATTCTATTATAACTATTATATATTTTGTCTGGCAATAGAGGAGTTATGTTTAACGGTTATAATTTGCTAAAAAGTTGGCTAAACCTTGTGGCTTAAAAGTTATATTGCTCGGAGGATGCCAAGGCTTAGCAACAAAAATAGGGCAGCTCTCTGGGAAATAGTGCTTACAGAGATTTTTCAATGATGGCAAAACTAATTAAACCATTATAGTGTAATAGGTTGCTCGTATATTATTTAGGGTGAGGTTGGAATTGATGATTACAGGTAGTTATGTAATGCATCTAATCCTGTCTAATTTTTTTTTTCGCAAAGTGAGGCAGTTCGCCATACTGACAACTTTGTCTGAAAAAAGTCAAGCACAGGTCATGAATGATGTATTTCTTTTAACAGGCTGAGCCTGTGGTGGTGGTTCATATGGCCTTCCTAATTCTAAGAAACCTAGTGTTTGTTAGATTTCTATTTTGCTTTCTCTTTCTTTTGTGAAAAAAAAAAAATTGAGTGATTGAAAGTAATCAAACTGAATGGCAAGTGGCTACATCCACCCAGCGACATGTCTGTAGACTGCTATGTAACAGACTCATGGGCCGGGCAATTAGAGTCGCACAGATATTTTAGTTTGGATACATTCATGATGTTGGAGAAAATGCAATGTATTTCTTTTAAAACTTGCTGGACTATGTAGCGATGTACTTTTCGTACTTTCCTTCATTGTCCTGTAGTCTGATATGTCAAACTAGTAACTGTGGTTGTTTGTACATGTTTTAAGTTAGCAAAACAAGCCTCTCTTTACAAATGTATACACCTAAACTCATAAAGTGTTAAACCGTCAGAATTTTCTTCTCATTAATTGAATTTGTGTCACCGTTCAAGAAATTTTACGTTTTCTTTAGAGATATATTCGAGATAAATTAAGTAACTGAGAATGTGAAGGTTAAGTGAAAATAACAAACTTTCAATACTTTGAATGGCTTCTGGTTTTTATCTCTTCCCTTTTAGCTATTGTGAGATTTCAATGGTCGCAATGGTGGTCATAGTGTTACTGTATGGCTGTTGTATTCTAATGTTCTGGGGCCTTTTAAATCCATCAGAAGGTGTTAAGGAATGGTGAACAAAAAAAGTCAAATTCACTTTCAATGATTATTTCGTATAATTTTATTTATGACCATTACTTTTCTTATTATTACCTCACTGAATTGGAAAGTTGAGGCAGTGACAGAGAACCCTAATGGAAGAAACTAGTTGTCTTGTACACTTGCTGCTAAAATGAACCCTCTGATAACTCCTCTTGCTACAAAACTGGTCATCCAACAAAGCTCACCCATTGCTGATTTTTGGTGAAAGCGCCTGTTGTACTTCCATGCAAGCTTGTGGCGCAAGCAGCACTGAGATCAGGTGTGGATTTATTTTCTTTAGATGACTAGCCAAGCCACTAGAGTGACCAGTTATCAGTGTTACACAATCAGAAACCAGATAGCTAAAGTCTTTCACCTTTAGACTAAGCCTGTTTTTTTAGTTGTTAGGATTGTTGATGAGGTTTTTTGTACTGGCTATATGTAGTTTTTCAGAACATTTTCTATCTGCAAGGAATGTGTTTCAATGTTCTCTGTTTCGTTTCCAGGAAAGATACATCTGTGACATCAGCAGTTAGGCGACCAAAGCTTAATGGGAAAATAGTGTTTGGCCTTCTTCCATAGTCAGAGCTGTGTCTGCAGGTGATATCTAACCCAACTTTTTGCATCACCTTTTTAGGTTGTAATATTGTCATACTTCCCTTTGGCTATCGAGGACACTATCAGTTCATGTGTAATCTAATTTTGAATTATCTTTACTTGCTTTGTATTGGCATGAATTCTGTTCTCTGAAAGTTTCTTCAGCTCAATATACATTACCTGTCTATTTTCAATTTATTTAGTTCTTGGTGATACTTTTAGAATAGCTGTTCTGTGTGTTAAGGGACTATGTTTGTCCATTTTCTGAAGTGTTCGTGTGACCATACAGGGTGAAGTTTAAAGTTTGAAATTTAAAGTTCATTCATTCATAAATACGTGACAGTTTGAAAACTGAATTGCGTATTTACATAACAAAAATTTGATTAATCTATCTTAAATAAAAGGATTAAAAAAGCTAACAGGAGATAAGTTGCCTAAAAAGTTATCTTAATACAAGCTTTGAAATTTCGAAAACCCTATATTAAAAATTAGTTGCTTTGAGATGTGAAGAGATAATGAAGGTATTCTTAACACAGTTGCTCCTAAAACATGTTATGTTAAAAGATTGTGCATGTTTAAATGAATAAGAAGAATCATGTGGCAAAGGTAATAACTTATGTAGGTGGCGATTGTTGTTATTTACAATTGTATCAAAAAGTGTCACGTATTTTGTCATGGTAAGTTGCTAGTTCCTTAAAGTTCATAATAACTAGAGCTTTTACTATACTATTTGGCACGTCTAACATGGACAATTTCCTTATAAGAAGGCTATGGTCAATTTAATCGAAAGCTTTACAGTAATTGAAGACAACTATTATGTCAGTGCCATTAGACCAATCAATCAGTGCCATTAGACCAATCATCAGTGCCATTAGACCAATCATAAAACATGTCCAACAAGAGAAGGGTGTTGACAACTTTTGTATGGCACCATACTGGTTTGTATCAAGATCTCTAAGTACAGCAGGCTTGATTTAATCAACTACGATGAACTCTTCTGCTATTGTGGAGAGATATGGCGTGAGTATGATGGTTCTAAGATCCTTCTTCTTTCTTTGGAAGCAGAGTTGCATCAGAAAATTTCCATGATCCAGGTAGGCATTGTCGCCTAAATGATGCATTAAGAATTCTGCATAACAGAAAGACAGTAAGGTCAGTGTGTTCTCACAGAAGCCAGTTTAGAATCTTGTCTGGGCCAACCGATCTAGAGGGGGTGAGATTTGAGAGGAATTTGCGTACATGGGGGAATCTTTTTCCAGGGCAAGGTGAGTGAAAGAGCAAGACAGGCGATACTCTTCTAGGGGCTCAAGGAATGCTTTATTTTTGAAGTTCACCGAGTGCCTTCTGCATAATTGTTTCATCTCTTTCCACCAGACTTTAGGGTCTTCCTTCTTTATATGCACTACTCGTGATTTGTAAGACTTTGCTCTGAAAAGCTTTCTTTCTCAGCTAACCTGACTCCTATAAAATTTGTTGTGTACTGTATTGTGGAAAGCCTGTTGCCTTCCGGATTAGATCTTTCAAGTGCTGCATCATCCAAGAAGCATTGCGTGTGTTCATGCAAACTTTTCTGACTGGCATTAGAAGGTCAAGGCTTGTGTGTTTGACTTGTTAAAAAACACAGGGCCATAGTTCACACCTTCGTTTTGCTTATTTTGGTCATGTTTTCTCCTCTAAGGCCTCTGATCACTTTTCATCTCTTCTCGGTACTTGCTTTTGTGTAGCAAAAGATCTACAATGAGCAGATCTTGAAGTCTGTAACCCTCCTCCGTTGCAAGGAGTAATGTCAAGGGCTTGGGAAAGCTTAAGAATAGAAACTGCACCAATATTGATATAAGAAACTGCCTCATACAGTCCTAATTTTTAAGTATAACTTCTAATATTAATTTCTTTTAAAATTCTGTGCCACACCATCTTATTCAAAGATCCAATTTGATTGTTTCTTGCCATGTAGACACTTCTGTGGTAAGTCATATTCACTTAGTCTACTGTCTCTTTAAAATAACAGTTCAGAGATAGTCCCTGTGGTGCCTTGCACACTTTGAAGGGGTACTGCCACTTAAACTTGGTAGGACTGACCACATTCTCTTCAAGAGGACTGGCAGCTGCAGGTGTGGAAACGGAAACCATCTGCAGCAGATCTGATATAGGCATTACTAGAATTTGTAGTTCACTCAGTTGGAAAACTAAACTACTCCATAAACTTTTAATAAAGTGTGCACTGTTGCAGTTTCCTTTTTGCGACAACTAAACGTAAATTCCTCAAGAAGTTCATTGTCTGCTCTAACACCCCTCCCAGGTCATGATGTTATGTTTAAATATTTTGTATACTCAATATATAGTATAATTATTTGGTGCAAAATCCCTTTCTTTTCAGTTAACAACCCTTCCAAGGGTTTAGGATCTGTCTTGATGGTGGACAAATGGCCATACAGGAATTGGTGAAACTTTTTAACACCAAAAATTATGACAAGGGCTTCTTTCTCCAGCGTGAAGTAGTTTCTTTGAGCTTTCTGTAGGATTCTTGAAACATATCCTATTGGCCGTTCAGTTCCATTTCCCCTCCTGTGGAATGAGACTGCACCCACTTAATAATTGGAAGCATCAGTTTCAAGAACCAGTCCCTTGTTGGAGACAAAATATACAGGTAGATCAGCAGACTGAAGTAACTTTTTGGCTTTGTCAAAAGCTGTGTGCTTTTCCCTCAGCCACTTTCACCTCGCCTCCTTCCTTAAGAGATGGTACAGGGGGTGAAAGTGTATGTCATTTAGGCCCTGTTTACAAGCAGGGGGGGGTAACCCTAGTGTTAGATAGCCTGGTTTACAAGCAAAATTTCACAGGTAGGGTTACTCTACCATGTGGGACAACTTAATGCTGGCTAACTGCGTGCATTGCAAACAAAATAGCCGAAAAGGATAGGGTTCTCGGGGGCATGATGAAGGAAGGCAAATGGAAGAAAAATTTTCAGAATGAATCGGGATGTTCTCATGATCCTTGCTAATGAAGTCAAGCCTTTTCTTGAGCTTAGTCGTGGTCCACACAGAGACGATGTATTTTCAGTGGAAAAACAATTGGCTATGACTTTATACTATCTCAGAGATCAGGGGTCTATTCTTATGACTGCTAATGCTTTTGGAGTTGCCCTTTGTACAGTGTCTGTTGTTGTTCGTATAGTTTGCTATGTTTTGACTAATAAGTGTGAACTAAATGTTCTCAAACTGCCAACCACAGAACAAGAGATGATGGAGCTTGTGTCTAAAATGGAGAACAAATTTTGTTTTCTTCTAGCATTTGGATGTGTGGATGGAACACAAATCCCTATTCTATCACCTAGGGAGAATCCGTATGATTACCTCAGTTACAAAATGGAGCATACTTTGAACATTCAAACGGTTTGCAACTACAAGGGAACTTTCTTACATGTTGATGTAAGGTGGCCATGATGGTCGAGTGTTTTCCTAATCAAGAATCAACAGAATGCTCAGCAAAGGTGAACTTCCTATGTTGTATAGGGAAATTTTGCAAGGCTATGACAAAGTGCTAGTGTTATTACTTGGAGGTCCAACATATCCCCTGCTGCCCAATTGTATGTAAGAGTAACCAAATCCAAGATCAAATAGTCTTAACAATTTGCTAAGAAGTAGAAGAAATCCTATCAAATATGCCTTTGGAAGGCTGAAAGCTAGGCGTCAAATCTTAAATAAATGTGTTGACTTGGTACTCTCATTTGTGCTCACTGTTATATATGCCTGTTTTGTGTCACATAATTTTTGTGAAAACGTGGCATGCAAGTATAAGATGATAATGTTGCCAGATAGATTGCTCATGATAGATAAGTGCAACCAGGCACTGAGCTAGACCGTTTGTATGCATTCAACAGAGCAGAAGGTGCACATATTTGAAATATTATTACTTTGATGTACAGAGAACACATTCCACATTGGCGTATGTTGCACCCTACAGTGTTGTGCAAAAGTAATGCAAACGGAATTCGGCAGATTTTGTTATTTGTTCAGGCGATCTTTCATCGAAAGTTTGAGCAAAACTTTGATTGAAAGTTTGAGGCCTGTTAAGCGACATTTCGTTCGAACAAAGGACGCTTTTTCGTTTAATTTTCGCCACGAAGCAAAAATTCGCGGCGCATAGCGATATCACAAGAAGCAAACTACCTGTGATGATAACAATATTATAAAATAACAACGTCAGTGATTATGACAATACATGTAATATTAATTATTGTGATGATACTACCGAAAATAAAGCTTATATTATATATAGAAAAAATAATGTCTGGGTACATTAGCTTTTGTAAACTCTTAACTTTGCCCTACATCAACAATCAAAATTCTAAGTAATCTTAGAACTTAGTGGAAGGACAGTAGTACATTTTAAACAAATAGACCTAAAGGTTTTGGGATTATTCGGATTGTAAGAGATAAGTAAACTAGCTAAAAAGTAGTTAAGCATTACAGTCTTAAATGAGTTCAAAGTATGGGTTATGGATAAGATCAATGGCTGGGCAACGTCTGGGTCTTGTAATTGGTTGACCTTGCTTTAACTCTCCTTCTGATACATTAGCTCTCTTCTTTCTCTTCTTTTCTTTCTGTTTTCTTGAATTCTGATAATACTCTTGACTCGGTTCTGAATGTTCTCTCTTTTGAGTTTTTTACTTCTTGTTTGATTCAACGGTTGTAATAAGACAAGAACAATGTCAAATGAACCACTCAAGAGGGTATAGAAGAGATTAGGAGTGAATGTCTGTGAAAATCGAAGAAAATCAGAAAAACGCGGCAACTTTCAAAAAATCGATTTGGCTCATACTTCGTCTGTTTGAAGGCCAAGGTAAGTAACTGAAGGATATGAGGCTAGGTGTTTGAAAACTGTTTCCCATTTAACTGCAGAAAGCCATGAAAGAAGGTCATCCTATTGCAAGTTTGCTGCTGCTTGTTTGTGAGGGAATTGAGCCGTGATGAAGTAGTCACACTTTTCTCACCTACCCAAAGGTCTGAAATATTTCAAACTGGGCAAGGCAAAGAGCTGACTGGTAGTGCCTGCAAGCCTCAGATATTTCAACCAAAGAAAACTCAGGTGTTGGTTTTTGGGTCTGTGGTTTGAAATCTTTAGGATCTAGTAGCACTTTTGCATGAACAGCGATCAAAGTTTGATTAAATTACATTGGCTAAAAACAGATTGGTTAAAACGAGAAATATTTGACTAGAATCGACAAACAGAGAGCTTAAAAATTGATGTTAAACAGTTGTGGTTGAGGTGGTGAGATCTTTTGTGGAAAAACTTTCCTAGTGACAATGGATAATTGCAAGACAACACTAGGTCAATTCAACTTTATTTACAACATGATGAATGAGCAAGTTTATTTACATCTTTGCTAAGGTAACAATCAAAGTTAATTTTGCTTTTAATGGACTTCCAAACTTTTTCCTTTTTGTGGGAGATTCAATGGGAAAACAGCTAAACACAAGCACCTGCAATGCTTGAAGTTTTGTCACATCTAGCTGCTGTTTTTTAAAACAGTGGGTCAGACTCTTCCAG